TCTTCATAGAGCAGGAAAAAAAAAAAATGAATTATCTTGGCCAGGTGCAGTGGCTCACACCTGTAATCCCAATACTTTGGGAGGCTGAGGCAGGAGGATTGCTTGAGGCCAGGAATTTGAGACCAGCCTGGGCAACACAGAGAGACTCTGTCTCTACAAAAAGCTTTTTAAAAATTATCCAGGAGTGGTGGTGCATGCCTGTGGTCCTAGCTACTCATGAGGCAGAGGTGGGAGGATTGCTTGAGCCCAGGAGATTAAGCTGCAGTGAACCGTGATTAGGTCACTGCACTCCAGCCTGGGCAACAGAACAAGACCCTGTTTCAAAAAAAGAAATGAGTTGTCTTGCTATTTGTAGCGAGTTTCTATAATTTTGTGTTGCTTCAGCGTCCATTTTGAATACAGCTTTAAGCAGTTTCCCATACCAGAAGCAGGGCTTAGTCACTGTCCCAGTTCTCTGTCTCCTCCCATTTCCTCAATGTGGTCAGTTCAGATATCTGGCTCATACAAACCCCTCCTGGTGACCGCCTCCCCGTGGGACAGCTAAATACAACCTACTTGACTGGCTCTACTAACCAGACACAATACATGCACTGCGGAGATACGCCCCAGTGGCCACCTCTCAGTCTCAGCAGGACTCCAGGGAACTCACGCCTGCCTGCTCTGAACCCACCAATTGGAACTCCCACCTAGGTAATGCCCTGGACCCCAAAAAAAGACACAGGCCCGCAGGTCACCCGCACTCTTTCGCTCCCCGCCCGCCGGTGGGCTTCCCATGTCCCAGATGGCTCCCCACTTCCTATCGGTCCTGAGAGGTGCGCCGCCCTCTTCTCTGGGCTGTGGAATGCTCTGCTTCTATTAACTCACGTGTCTTGTTGAGAGGCCTCCTCTGTGTCTCCCCTGTCGGATGTACCTGAACCTAACTTCTTTCCTCGTCAGGGCTCTCCTAGAGAGTGGCTGTCTTGGTAGGAATGAACTGAACACAGACGGGACAAGAGCAATGAAGGGGTCTGCCAGGATAAACCTGTGTGTGGGACGCCTGGGGCACGGTCAGACACTTAAGCATTAGGCAGTCAGCCGGGATAAAAAAAAGATTCCACGGGCCGGGCTCGGTGGCTCACGCCTGTAATCCCAGCACTTTGGGAGGCCGAGGCGGGTGGATCACCAGGTCAGGAGATCCAGACCATCCTGGCTAACACGGTGAAACCCCGTCTCTACTAAAAATAGAAAAAAAAATTAGCTGGGCGTGGTGGCCGGCGCTTGTAGTCCCAGCTACTCGGGAGGCTGGGGCAGGAGAATGGCGTGAACCAGGGAAGCGGAGCTTGCAGTGAGCCGAGATCGCGCCACCGCACTCCAGCTTGGGCGACAGAGCGACAGGACCAAACTCCGTCTGAAACAAAACAAAACAAAACAAAATATTGCATACAAGACACCCCATCAACACCCACGGGAGCCCCATGGGGCAGGGCAAGGGTTTACAGCCACTCAGATGGCTATCAAAGGGTGTAGCTCACCTCTCCACTCTGTGTCCAGGCCGGCCTTGTCTGCTGCTTTGACCAAGAGAATGCAGTGGAAGTGAAGTTGTGCAGCCTCAGAGCCTACACCTTCAAGGGCCTTGCAGTGTCCAACCTCATCCCCTCGGAACACCTGTGGCCACCATGGGAGGAAGAAGCCCAGGATGAAAGACCATGGGGAGGGAGAGAGTCCCAGGTGTCCCAGATGAGCCCACCCCTGGCTGACCCACCTGTCGAGGTCACACAGGCAAGACCCACTAACAACAACCCAGTCAACCCGCGGGATTGTGAAATCATAAACCAGTGTTGCTTTAAGCCACTAAGGTGTGGGGTGGTTTGTTTAGCAGCCATAAATAAGTGACACAGAGCTCGGATAACACAGCCGACTAATTGTATAGCTGAGGAACTAGAGGTAAAGTGATTTATTAGGTCCTTAAAGGCAGAATTAAGATAGAGCTCCACGGGCCAGGAGCAGTGGCTCAGGCTTGTAATCTCAACACTTTGGGCGGCTGAGGTGGGCAGATCACCTGAGGTCAGGAGTTCGAGACCAGCCTGGCCAATATGGTAAAACTCCATCTCTACTACAGATATAAAAAATTAACCGGGCATGGTGGTGGATGCCTGTAGTCCCAACTACTCGGGAGGCTGAGGCAGGAGAATCACTTGAACCTGGGAGGCAGAGGTTGCAGTGAGCCAAGATCATGCCACTGCACTCCAGCCTGGGTAACAGAGCAAGACCCCCTCTCAAAAAAAAAAAAAAAAAAAGATAAAGCCCCACAATAAAACCAGTGGCTTCTTTAGCACGAACATTGTTCTGGGGTCTTGATATAGACAGAACAATGTATGTGCAAAGAAGCCACTGGGTATTGTGGGGTTTACATCCACTGTGCCCTGGCAGGATGGGCAGCTGGCTTAGGGAGCAGAGCCAAGTAGGTGGGGGAGAATGGGGAGAGTTCTAGCTTGAAGCCACAGGGTCAGACCCTCCCCATTCCCTGACTTGGCAAAGTACCAAGGAGACCTCCAGGTTGGTGTGTGGTGGGAGGTGGTGAGGGGTGACAGGGAAAGAGCCTGTTTAAACATGCTGGGGGCTCCTCCACCTTGTCTGTGGCCTGAGCTTAGAGGTTGACAAATGGAAGAAACATCAGAGAGAAGCCTGAGGGCTCCCTCCTGATGGCCTGAGCTTCAGATGAGAGGCTGCAGAATTGGGGTGATTCTCCACAGTCATCCCCTTGTTGAGGGCAGGGTGGCCTCCAAAGCCTCACACCTACCATAACCACCATGCTGGACCGCTCAGCCAGCAAAGCCAGACAGGCCTGAGGTGGGGGAAGTGGGGTGGTTAGAGGACACTCAATGATAACAGAAGGAAATGGGGAAGGAAGAAGGGAAAAGGGAGAAAGAAAAGAAACCCGGGGAGGGCTCCTGAAGCACCCCTCCTCCCTGGTTGATCTGCTTTATGCCCGCCAGCCAAGGAGGAGGAGGATGAAAGGTCATCTGCAGGGCTCAAAGCTTCCATCCCTTTTTCTCCAGTCCATGCCTGGTCCCTCTTTCTGGGCCATGGCAGGAGGCTCCCCCTCAGCTCTGACCGCCCCAACCACTCATCTCTCACCGTGTCCCACGATGGTAGAGGGAGCTCCTCAACACTCAGATCTAGCGCTCCCTCTCTTACAAAAATGTGACCTCCTCATGGCCTCTGCAAGCTATTAGAACAGCACATTTGAGATTGCTTCTCCCCCATAGCCAGGGACACCTGTACTATCGCGTAGTGTTTTTCTTTTAAATGACTCACTTTTTGACTTAAATAAATGTATTGAAGTCATTCTAAGCAATAATACCCATGACATTGTGGGTTTGATGTGCTGTTTATAGTTTTTCGGAATGTGCATTAAAATAATTACATAACTGAAAAATGTAAATGTTCCTTGTGTGCCACCTAAAACCATCCCACTGACTGTATTTCACTCTGAAACCGTATTGAAAGCACACCAGTCAGAATACTTGGGTTGCAAGAAACAGGAACTGAGTCTCTGATTATCGTAAGTAAAGAAAGATATTATCGGAGGCTGAGGGTGGCAGGGGGAAGCTGGTAGTCTCACAGGAGAGGGAAGAAGGCAGAAGGTCCAAGCTCACAAAGGACAGGGCCAGTAGGTCTGCCCAGGGGTCGAGGGGCCTCAGAGACTGGACTCCAGCCCACGAGGTGCAGGAACTGGATGAATGACAGCCGGGCATTTTCTGTCTCTACATCACTCTACGATTTAAATTCCAGTGAGGGAATTCGCATCAGCCTGCTTGGATCCCGTGCCCACCCCTTGGGTGCGATTATGGAATGGTTACTGCACCATCAAAAAACTGCTGTTACCGTGAGAGGACTCTTGTTTCCTCTTTACTGAAAACGGGCTCTGTAACAACATTCACAGGTAGAACAGTTCACAACTTCACATGTAAGGTGGACATAATTTTGTGTCTTGGGCAGATTTGGTTTTTTTCGGGGGATTTTTAATGTTCATTTATTTCATGTTGGAACTTTATAGAAGGAAGGGTGAGCAATAGAGGAAATTAATAGCATTATAATTGTCTAGCTTTTAAAAGCAAATTCAATTTAAATACATGAGAAATGCTGTCATCATCACAATCTACTGATTACCTGAACCCCAAAAATATTCCTTCTGGCTCACATTCTAAAACCAGTTGGACTCCTCCTGGTTTGACTCAAAAGCTCAGAGCCAAATTTTGGCCCACTGATGGTAAGTGTGTGGATTTTTAGCCTTATTCCAATTTTATATATCCATACTTGTTTTTTATTTTTTGCATCACTACTTCCGAAACTCTACCCACTTTCTCTTATGCAATGTTTTTTGCTTTTGGAATTTTAATTAAATACGATGCAAAAAGTTGGGCAATGTAGTGATTATGATGATGGTGGTGAAGATGATAATTTGCCTGCACAGACCCAACAGGATGAAATGGGTCAGTTTTGGTCAAAGCTCCATTGGAGTCAATAGGTGTCAAGTACTCCCACATTTCACAGGTTGGTATGGACCCCTCACACAGGACTTGCAAAAGAAGAGATCAGGAATTTCAATCAGCCCAATACCACCTTAAGGGTATTAAAGTGGTGAGGTTGAGGAATGCTAGTGTTGACATGTGAATGTTTTCCTCTCCTTCCTTCTATGGGGAGAAGAGAGCACTTGTAGGGTGTTGAGGGGCAAGAGAAGAAAATATGTGGGGTTTTTTGTTTTTGAGACAGAGTCTTACTCTGTTACCCAGGTTGGAGTGCAGTAGCACGATCTTGGCTCACTGCAGTCTCGACCTCCTGGGCTCAAGTGATCCTTCTTCCTCAGCCTCCCAAGTCGCTGGAACTAGAGGCACATACCACCATGCCCGGCTAATTTTTTTAAATTTTTTGTAGACAAGGGGTCACACTAGGTTGCCCAGGCTGGTCTCAAACTCCTAAGCTCAAGTGATCCTCCAGCCTCAGCCTCCCAAAGTGAAAATATGTGGAGTTTTTTGTTTGTTTGTTTGTTTTTATGACTCCTCAGGATTCCTACTCTTTCAATACAACAGTTCCACAAACTCACATCCTAACAAACAGATCTTAATGATCACAGAAACCAATTCTTCACACAACACCGGTCACTGGGTTCACAGATGCAAGTCTACATGATTTCCACAAGAAAGCCTATCACTGAACTAACGGAAGCATTTACTTGAGAATGGACCGTAGAATTGTTCTAACTTCAGCAAATTCCACTCCAGCCAGAAGCCTGGACTCCCCCTAGGCGTCTTTGGATTTTGTTGTCTTGTTCTGCAAGCTTTCCAAGTTTTCCCTTGTTTCGCATTTGGCTAACCCTGGTCTTTTGAGGCGCTAAGGACTGGAGAGCTGCTTCCCCTTTCTCATAAAATGTGCTGACAGAGGCCATGGCCCAGTGGCTGTCAGGTAGGTGTGGAGTTTGAATACAGAATGGATGAGGAAGAAAATAGAATATAGAATGGTCGTGGGCCCAGGCAGCAGGGAAATCCAACATGTGAACATTAGGAAAGTGTGAAATACCTTGACTAGATTATCAAGCCAGAAATCAAGGGGTGAGGTCCTTGCCTGACTTCTTTATAGGCAGGGAGGTTAACAGCCCTGCTGCTCCGTGAAATGTGGTAGCTAAATGCAGCGCTCTCATGGGGAACCAACCCACTTTACCTAATTGCTAAACACTTCAAGATTGGGTCTTTATACATCTCCTTAATGATAGGTTGTAATGAATGTTCAATACATTTTAACTGATGTGGTAGGAAGAACGGGATTGTGCAATTTAAAGCAAGTGGTACGAAATTCTACCAGATCAATGCACTCTCAGTTAAATGTTTTTATTATAATTACAGAAAAACTAACAGATTAAAATAATTGGTTCAAAATAAGAAACTGTTTCTTAGTTTCCTGAGGTTATGGCTTTTAGAACATTTTCTTTTCTGAAAATCAAAACACAGCAAATGAGACTTTTTTTCTTCCATTGTTTAATTATTTTTCCTTCACCTCTGGGATTGTGCCTGACAACTAGAAAATGAGAGATCAAGGCATCCTATGGCTCCTTAATTCTACACACCAAAATTTTCCAAATAACCCTGTGTAATATACAGCTGACCATAAATATTTTAGTCTGAGAAATGTATATAATGTTAAATTTATGACTTGGGGATAAGCTGACTCTCCACTCCTTATGCTTTTGTTTCCCAGAAATTCCTAAAGATAGATGTTGCAGAAGGATTTTTTAGAAATAAATTTTTGTTAATAAGTTATCAACCCAAGAAATAAATGGGCAAAAGATTTGAGCATATATCAGTAACCAAATCAGTTTCCCATATTTGGAAATTTCCCCAATAGGAGAGCAGAGTCCACATCCCACTGGAGATGCCAAAGAGGAGCCAACACTGCATTCCTGGACCCCTCTGTGCCCCGACCCAGCTTGTGCCCTCCGTCTGGCTAGTCAGCCATTCAGGGACAGGGGCAGATGAGAATCTGGTCTGAGAGTGGCAGCAGTGGCAGCGGAGCGTCCGTGCTGCAGTGCCTCTGCTTCCGCCATTCTCCAAGCCTGGCTCGCCTGCCCTCCTAACAATTCCCAGAGCTGCCGGGCAATTATCCTTCTCTCAGTCAGCATGAGACAGTTTCTGTTGCATGCAACGAAGAACCCTGATTCGAACAGCACTAAACTGTGATTCATACAGTGGAAAGAGACTGTGCTTAGATAAGATGCCAGGCCTTGAATGTGCCTCATTTTCCCAATTAAAATATGGAGCTGCTAACACTAGCTCTATTTCACTGAATTCTTGAAAAAATAATAATAATAATAACCTGTACAAATGCAAAATCCTTTGGAATTGTTAAGTGACATGGACAAAACAAAGATGTGTACATGTTTTTGAACCAGTTTATTTTACTAAAAGAAATGCAAATTTCAAAGCCAGAGAAGAAAAACAACAACAACAAAAAAAAGATTTCATGCAGAAATGCTGTTCCATGTCCATGTTCCAGTTTCTCCATGCAGTAGGTGGGAATCCAGCCTACACAACAGCCTGCTTGAATTTCTCTGCTCCTGGGAGCCACCTGGGAGCAGAAAAGAGTTTATTCACAAACCCAACAATGCCATCTAAAGTTTTGAAAAGCATTCCACTTAGCCATAATTTCACCTGTGTGTCACAACTTCGGTGAGCTTCCCTGCCCTGTACTGAAGCCACTGAGATAAATACAGGACCCTGGTCTCAAGAATTCATCCGTGCAAGTTGTTTTCTTCTCACCACCTGCAACCTTCAATCGCAGCATCTGAGGTAGAGGTGAGGGACATGGTGATCATGTCACAAAGAATGATCTCAGAAGGAGGAAAAGCAGCAGACCCAAGGAAACCCAACATCCGAGGCCCGTTCTTGAAAGAAAAGGTCACTTAAAGAGGGAAAATTTTAAAAAGAAATAAGTGCAGTGTATCTGGAGAATATTCCTTTATTATGACTCTCATTTTAAGGCTGGGCAACATACTGAGACTCTATTTCTACAAAAAACAAAACAAAACAAAACACAACTTTTCCAATTAGCCAGGCATGGTGGCACACACCTGCAGTCCCAGTTACTTGGGAGGCTGAGGAGGGAGATCGCTTGAGCCCAGGAGGACAAAACTGCAGTGAGCCATGATTGCACCATTGTACTCCAGCCTGGGTGACAGACTGAGACTCTGTCTTAAAAAAAAAAAAAAAAAAAACTTTCTTTTTAATCTTACAACGTTGGGAAGATGCCCACAAACTTTAGAGAATATCACATACTTTCATTTGCAAATCTATCCAACAGTATCGTGTCCCCTTTCACTGCAAATGTGTTGGAGAAGATGAACAGGAGATTGCCAATGGGCTGACACCAAGGAGAAGGAAAAGAGCCCCCAGGGGCTCTGGGGCATTTGACCCAACAAGCTGCTCTGACCAGTTAATGTTTTCCTGCTGGTGTTAATGACTTGGAAAGTCCATTCTATCCATGCAGCCTTTTCATCAGTTACGATACCCTGAATTCATCTTCTGTTCACACCTGCAGAGAAAATTCTGTGAATCAGTCTGTCATGCACCTGCCTGCACATATTTCCAACAGGCACAGGTGTGGCTGCAGCCAGCCAGTCTACAGCAAACCCAGAGATTCCTCTTAGGGGAAAGTGCTACTGAGAGAATATCAAAATCTGGGCACATGTAAGGGAGACCTGCAGACCTCTGTCTCCATGAACCAGGCACCTCTTACGGGGAACAGAGAGCAGGGAAAGGAAGACCGTTCTCCAGCCTACAGGCTGAGTTTGTCCATCCTCCCACACACCTGGAGGGAGCGCCCTGGTTCAGACGAACTCAGGAAGTGCTTGTAGAATTCCAAGGAAAGAAGATAGGCAGTGAGGAGGGTCCAGCTCTGACCTCTCCCCGCAGCACAGAAGTGTCCAGTCAGAAATGGCTCCCCTTCAGGACTGTCAGGGGCCTGTGGTGCCCCGGCTCCCAGGGTAGGGAAGTTGGGCACCCCAGGTTTGCCCTCAGCCTGCCATGCCCTTCACCCAGGGCACAGTGAAAGGCCTCCACTCAACCAGAGATGGGCACTTCCTTTGCACAGTTTCTAAATGTGTGCGGCTGGGTGCAGTGGCTCACACCTGTAATCCCAGCACTTTGGGAGGCTGAGGTGGGTGGTGAGAAGTTTGAGACTAGCCTGGCCAACATGGCAAAACCCCGCCTCTACTAAAAATACAAAAAAAAAAAAAAAAAAAAAAGAATAGCCAGGCATGGTGGCGTGCACCTGTAGTCCAAACTATTTGGGAGGCTGAGGCACAAGAATCACTTGAACCCAGGTGACAGAGGCTGCAGTGAGCCGAGATTGTGCCACTGCACACCAGCCTGGGTGACAGAGCGAGACTCCATCTCAATTAAAAAATAAAAATAAAAAATAAACAAAAATAAATAAATGTGTGCAACCCCCTGAGCTTCAGCCACTGCAAGTTTAAATGGCATCTGCTCTGCCTAGCTAGTGGGGAAGTGGAGGGGGATGCTGCAGATCTCGGCTCACCCCCCACACCCAGTGTGGCTCTGTAATTTCTATTCTATACGGTGCATTCATAACTCATTCTACTGGGCCAAAGCACGAAGAACTAACTCTTCAGAGAGTTTCTACAATTTGCGTTAGCATTTTTCAAAATTATTCCTAGACGAGACACAACTTTATTACCATCTCTAGCTGCCCTTTAGAATTCTAATATTCTCATATTCTGTGCATCCCATGAGGCCCCTTTCCTGACAAAGATATTTACCTTAGATGTGTGTAACTTCCAGGAGTCTAAAATATGATCATAAAGCTATTAGCTAACACAGCGGCTTTTAGCTTCTTGAAAGCAGAATTCACATCATTAATGTCTTTTAGAATATTCGTCTTTGCACGGCTTTTCTTTATCTCCCTATGTGGGGAGAACTTATAGACTATATTATGTATCCACCAGGGTACCCACAGAAATGAGGCCTAAGTGACATTTTATTAGCCCCGTAGATTACATTCATGATGGAGGGGGAGAAAGAGCAAGTTAACATTCTCAGGAGGCTCGTAATGGTCCAAAGCTTTTCCTTCAGACGCCTTGGCCTGGGCAAGAGAAAAGCCAGGCTCCTTAGTGTCTTCTCGTAGGGCTCACTTCTGCCTTGAGAGGCCAGAAGACTGTTGCTCTTCTAGAAACCAACCCTGAGAGGTCCCTCTTGGATTCAGGGTTGGTCTAGACAGTGGCTCTGAAGCTTGAGTGCCTGTCGGAATCATCCAGAGGGCTTGCCTGTTGAAACACAGATTGCTGGGCCCTGCCAGAATTTCTGGTTCTGTAGGTCTGTGGGCCTGAGAATCTGCATTTCTAACCAGTTTCTGGGGATGCTGATGCCACTGGTTTGGGGACCACACTCTAGAACCATTGGGGCACTGTTTCAGGACACTCTAAGGTGGCCAATATACAAAGGTTCCTACTGGCCCCCCAGTCCAGCTGCTCACTGGGTCTATGGCCCTCAGACCCCAGCTGGGTGCACTGAGCACCCCCTCCTTAGGAGCCCAACTTTCGCAAGACTTCAAGCCAACTGTGGTCCATGTGGCTCCTCCCTCACCACAAGGACAAGAACTCATTGGCCCCACCCCGTTTTCCTCCTGCGGAGATCGGCGATGTAATTTGTGAGACCCAGTGTAACATGAAAACATGGGGCCTCTCTTTGTAACAATAAGAATTTCAATACAGTGACAGTGGAGCATTAGATCAAGCATGGCCCTTCTCCCCAGGGCCTGGCCCCTGGGCCCCTGCAATTCAGAGCAGTGAGTTCTGATTCTTTCTGGGCCCCAGCCTCCCATCTCCCTCAAGTTTTCAAACAAGAATCCATCCTCCCTCTGCTCCAAGCCCCTCCTTGACTCTACAACTTCTGCCCCTCAAGAAAGGGGCATTGGTATGATAGTTTAGGAGGAAATGTTAAATAGCTGTTAAAATTGTAAAATGTTCCTACTCTTTTATGCAGCAATTTCACTCCAAGAGATTTATTCTTCCGTGGATAGAGTCCCCAAGGTGCTCTCCCAGTGCTCAAAGCCTATTCACTGTTATGGTGCTTGTAATAAGAAAAAATAAAAATAACAACAGCTTAAATGTCTCTCAATAGTAATTAAAGAATGAGGCAGATTTATAGGTAATGATCAGGAAGTATAGCCAAGATCTCATAAGTATTAAAGGCAAGTTGAAAACGTTGAGGCGGGTGGGCATGTGTGTACATGAATAGAAAAAAAATTCAGGAAACCTGAACGAAAAATTGTTAGCCATCGCCACTGGGAATTTTCACTTTACAGTTTATGCACTCTACATTTTAAACATTCTTATTACCTCATATTATTTCTGAGTATGTGTAGAATTGAAAAATACTTCAGACCTTAACCAAAGCTGTTTTCCTCCAGAAACATCGACCACCAGTGAGGGCTGCCCCAAACCCCTGCCCTGTTCCTCCAGTCCTACCCCTCTTACACCATCATGGTCTCATTCCTGCCATTTTCCACCCCCACTGCCGCAGAGCCTCTCGGGTACCTGATCTAAGACTGACTGCAGATGAATTTGTTGCATCTAAAATATGTTGATCTCCCCAGAAATCGGCTCCTATGAAAACCTAATTTAAAAATAGAAAAGAGGAGAAACATTTATGAAATTTCTTTTAGATCTATTGCCTTATTAATTTTTTCACTCTGAGGTAGCAGATGTATTCTTACTTTCACATTTGGACTTTGGATATGGACTGGGATGCCCACCCGACACCTCAAAGGCAAAGGGTTCCAAGGGAGACTCCAAGCCTAATCTTTATCTTGACTAAACAGCAGCTTAACACAGAGGCTGATTCTCCACTGAACGAGGCCCAGTGTCTGTGTTCCTCAGTGGTATTTTTAAATTCTACACATACTTAATAAGAGATAATAAGAATGTTAAAAATTTAGAGTGTATAAACTGTAAAGTGAAAACTTCCGGTTGTGAATGACCAGTCTTCTGCTTGGTCATCTGGGGCCCCAGACACCCCCTTTTTTTTTTTTTTTTGGCTCTGCTTCCCCTCTGGGTCCTCAGCACAGAGAAAAGGAAAGACAAGGGAGATCTTGTGGGCCAGGCCTGAAAAAGAGGTCCTTATTCCTCTGGCCAGACTGGTAACAGTGGTGTAATAGACAAAATAAGGGCTCTCAAAAATGTCCATGTCCTCATCCCCATGTGAACCTGTGAGCATGTTGCCTTAAGTACCAAAGAGACTTTGCAGGAGTGATTAAGGTCAGAGTCTTTGTCAGGCCTCTGAGCCCAAGCTAAGCCATCATGCCCCCAGTGAACTACAGGTATACATCCAGATGGCCTGAAGCAAGTGAAGAATCACAAAAGAAGTGAAAATGGCCGGTTCCTGCCTTAACTGATGACATTCCACCATTGTGATTTGTTTCTGCCCCATCTTAACTGAGCGATTAACCTTGTGAAATTCCTTCTCCTGGCTCAGAAGCTCCCCCACTGAGCACCTTGTGAACCCCACCCCTGCCCGCAAGATAACAACCCCCCTTTGACTGTAATTTTCCACTACCCACCCAAATCCTGTAAAAGGGCCCCACCCCTATCTCCCTTCGCTGACTCTTTTCGGACTCAGCCTGCCTGTACCCAGGTGATTAAAAAGCTTTATTGCTCACACAAAGCTTGTTTAGTGGTCTCTTCACACAAACGCGCATGACACTCTCAATATGAGATGATCCTGGGTTATACAGGTGGCCAGAGGGCCAAAACAAAACAAAAACAAGGAAACATGAAGATAGAAACAGGTTGGAGTTGTTCCGGGGTGGGGGCCCCCAGTTGGCCAGCGGCTTCCAAGATGGTGGCAAGCCTCCTGTTCTCTGACCTGGGGTTCTTGGCCTTATGGATTCCAAGGAATGGAATCTTGGGCCATGCGGTGAGTGTTATAGCTCTATTAGGAGCCGTGGGTGACGGAAGAGAACCAT